TGTGGATAACATATATTTATCGTCCCATCGTGTTTTAAAGCAAAATGGTACACTTTTAAGAAAGTCGTGGAAAATAAGGGTAAATAGGGGCAAGTACGAATATCTAAGCAACGTCCTCGGAAAGACTTGTTTTCGAACACGACACGATTATTTGATGTGGATAACATATATTTATCGCCCTATCGTATCTTAAAGCAAAATGGTATACTTTTAAGAAAGTCGAGGAAAACAATGGTAAATAGAGGCAAGTACGAAAATGTAAGCAACGTCTTGAAAGACTTGTTTTCGAACACGACACCATTATTTGATGTGGATAACATAAATTTATCCTCTCATCGTATTTTGAAGCAAAATGGTACACGTTTAAGAAGGTCGAGGAAAATAAGGGTAAATAGGGGCAAGTAGAAAATTTAAGCAACGTCTCCGGAAAGACATGTTTTCGAACACGACACCATTATATGATGTGGATAACATATATTTATCGCCCCTTCGTGTTTTGAAGTCAAATGGTACACGTTTAAAAAATTTCAGGAAAAATAAGGGTAAATAGGGGCAAGTTCGAAAATGTAAGCAACGTCTCTGGAAAGACTTGTTTTCGAACATGGCACCATTATTTGATGTTGATGACATATATTTATCGTACAGCAAAATGGTACACGTTTAAGAATGTCGAGGAAAAATAAGGGTAAATAGGGGCAACTACGAAAATGTAAGCAACGTCTCCAGAAAGACTTGTTTTCGAACACGACACCATTATTTGATGTGGATAACATATATTTATCGTCCCATCGTGTTTTGAAGGAAAATGGTACACGTTTAAGAAAGTCGATGAAAATAAGGGTAAATAGGGGCAAGTACGAAATGTAAGCAACGTCTCCAGAAAGACTTGTTTTTGAATACGACACCATTAGTGGATGTGGATAACATATATTTATCGCCCCATCGGGTTTTGAAGCAAAATGGTACACGTTTAAGAAAGTCGAGGAAAATAAGGGTAAATAGGGGCAAGTACGTTAAGAAACGTCTCTGGAAAGACTTGTTTTCGAACACGACACCATTATTTGATGTGGATAAAATATATTTCTCGCCCCATCGTGTTTTGAAGCAAAATGTTACACTTTTAAGAATGTCGAGAAAAATAAGAGTAAATAGGGGCAAATACGAAAACGTAAGCAACGTATCCGGAAAGACTTGTTTTCGAAAACGACACCATTATTTGATGTGGATAACATATATTTATCGCCCCATCGTATTTTGAATCAAAATGGTACACGTTTAAGAAAGTCGATGAAAATATGGGTGAATAGGGGCAAGTACGAAAATGTAAGCAACGTCTCTGGAAAGACTTGTTTTCAAACACGACACCATTATTTGATGTGGATAACATATATTTATCGCCCCATCGTGTTTTGAAGCAAAATGGTGCACATTTAAGAAAGTCGTGAAAAATAAGGGTAAATAGGGGCAAGTACGAAAATGTAAGCAACGTCCCCAGAATGACTTGTTTTCGAACACGAGACCATTATTTGATGTGGATAACATATATTTATCACCCCACCGTCTTTTGAAGCAAAATGGTACGCGTTTAAGAAAGTCGTGAAAAATAAGGGTAAATAGGGGCAAGTACGAAAATGTAAGCAACGTCTCCGGAAAGACTTGTTTTCGAACACGACACCATTATTTGATGTGGATAACATATACTTATCGCCCCATCGTATTTTGAAGCAAAGTGGTACACTTTTATAAAAGTCGAGGAAAATAAGGGTAAATAAGGACAAGTACGAAAATGTAAGCAACGTTTCCGGAAAGACTTGTTTTCGAACACGACACCATTATTTGATGTGGATAACATATATTTGTCGCCCCATCGTGTGTTGAAGCAAAATAGTACTCATTTAATAAAGTCGAGGAAAATAAGAGTAAATAGGGGCAAGTACGAAAATGTAAGCAACGTCTCTGAAAAGACTTGTTTTCGAACACAACACCATTATTTAATGTGGATAACATATATTTATCGCCCCATCGTGTTTTGAAGCAAAATTGGTACACGTTTAAGAAAGTCGAGGAAAATAAGGGTAAATCGGGGCAAGTACGAAAATGTAAGCAACATCTCCGGAAAGATTTGTTTTCGAACATGACACCTTTATTTGATGTGGATAACATATATTTATCTCCCCATCTGTTTTGAAGCAAAATGGTACACGTTTATGAAAGTCGAGGAAAATAAGGGTAAATAGGGGCAAGTACGAAAATGTAAGCAACGTCTCCGGAAAGACTTGTTTTCGAACACGGCACCATTATTTGATGTGGATAACATATATTTATAGCCCCATCGTGTTTTGAAGCAAAATGGTACACGTTTAAGAAAGTCGAGAAAAATAAGGGTAAATAGGGGCAAGTACAAAACTGTAAGCAACGTCTCTAGAAAGACTTGTTTTCGAACACGACACCATTATTTGATGTGGATAACATTGTAGCGCCCCATTCGTTTATTAGAATTTTTTTGTATATTATATTATTATTTATTTGCATTTTATTTTACTTATTCCTTTATGTTATATTATTTGCTTTATTATTGTTAATAACTACTTGTCCCTGCCTTGATTTATTTATCTGCTTGAATATTGAATATGAGGTGTGATTTATGTAATTATTATGTGTATATATTATTAGAATTTAAATTGTTTCGGCGATTTTCGGTTTAATCGCGTGAACCGTACTTTTATGCGTTTTGACTCGTTTTCGAGCCATTTTAATCCGAGTTCAAGTATTTTATTCTTGCCCAAATATTTGTCATTTTCGGACCAACCTCAACCCATAAAACCGGCCCAAATTGTAGTATCTTGGTTCTTAATTCCAATTTGAATTAATATCTTGGTTCTCACTGCCATTCAAGCACGTGGTGCTAAATTGAGAAAATGTTGTCAGCAATTACTCCCTTCTTTAACCGATATTAAGTAGCCAATTTAGTGCTAATTAATTACCCACTTATGGAATGTTATATCCTAATTGTTATCACCTTAACTAGTGCGTATCCCGTGCGATGCACGGGTATATAATTTTGAAGAATATTACAATTTGACATGCACTAAGATATATGAGAGTTTAATACATACGAACATTATTCATCATAAAATGTTCGTCACTAAAAAAATCTTATATTACAAAAAAACCTCTTTTTACACAACATTATAAGTTTGATTATTGGGTAACTCGTTGTGAGGAGCACAGACCGGCTCGGGCCGGATGCGGGCTGCGAAAATTTGGCCTCACTCAACTGGGCTCCAGCTTGCTGGGCTTCTCTCCTGGGTTGCGGATGTTGATTGTTGTCGCCAAAAAAATTGCCCCACGCTTGGACAACTCTTATAATTTCTAACTATATTATAAATTATATTTTATTCCAAGTTTAACTTTTTCATTCCTATTTTATGTAGTTATACTAATAAAGTATATTTTTAGTTTGAATCATGTAACTTCCTTAAAAGTGAGTTGAATAATTTATAGATAGAAATATAATTTAATGATTTTCTCTAATTTCTCTCCCCTCTCCCTTTTTCATATTCCATAGTATTTCACAATTTTTTCCAAATAAAAAAAAAAATTATATACAACAATTATTAGGTTGACCATCAAATAAATCAAAATAGGACTGTAAATAAACGTAAACTTTTCCTTAATATTTCTATATTTTTTTAAAAAAATAACAATTGTAATGTTTCATGTTCAATACAAAATTAGTTTGTTTGTTCTTTACTAATTGTTTATGAATAGGCTATCTATCTTAATTTTTGTTCAAAATTAGTTTATTTTTATTTTTATCATCACATATATCATGTTAGTCATCATTGGACATAAGCTCATAGGATGTGGTGATAATATGCATTTAGATTTTAATGTATGCAATACAAATGTAAAAAATACATAGAATATACTAACGCTAAATTTAGTTTATTGGACATTCTAATATATCAATCGAGATTTCAGTGTCGATGGCCGTTTTGATGACGTTAAACTCCTCGGCAACCCGCATTCAAAACTCAACACAATTTACGAAAAATATAATTTTACATAGGCTCAGGAATTTACAAAAAAAAAAAATAAGGATTTGGCTCAGAAAATGAAACAACAACTCAAGGCATGACTAACGTCGAATTTTCAAAATAAGTTCAGCGCCCCTAAATTCAAACGACGATCTCGACATGGTAAAAAAGCTCGGATTTTCAATTCGGCTTGAAACAGAAAATAAAGACTCGGGTATGTGATAAGAATTGAT